TCTGATACTAGATAATCTTAATGCAGTTTTAATATTGAAAGTACAGTTCCTCTAACATCTGTGATAATAGTCAAACTTGATGATAACACATACTTTTAAGGTATGTTATGGGTTTTATTTGTTACTGAACTCTCACTGACAGAAATTAGTTGGAATAGTAGAGAGTATGTGCATGGGACACACCTTGTAATAAGTGTGTTTATCACATACTTCTTACTTTGTACCTTTCTACTGTTTGCTAATCCAACTGAGCTGCCAGTGGGGGGAAAAAAATAATCTCCATGCTGAAGATTTCCTTCTCTACCTCACTCATAGCATGACCTAGAATTACTTAGTTTTGGAGAGAGGAAGGTTAGGAAATTATCTTAGAGAAGAGAGATGTTTTCTCTGTGTAACTTTGTCATGAATCCAGAGTGACATAGTTCCAGTCCTTCTAGAAAGCAGAATCTATGGTCTTTGAAAAGGGAAAATTCTCAGCTGGTGGCTGTGGTCTCGCAGGTTTTGGATGGGCTGGGATATGAGACTTAAAGGTATAATTATATTTCTAGAACACTGGATGTTTTAAGTAGTAATTTTAAAAATGTTTTTCAATTTCCTGTGCTGAAGGTGATGAGGTATCATTGTATATGTTTAGCTGAGCATGGACTTCTGTTCTACCTGGTTACTTTGTTAAGGCTTTAGAATCTAAACCTCTGGTTGTAGTGCAGCCTTCTTAGGATTTCATAATTCTTAATAAATTTCAAGATTAGTGAGAACCAGCCTATGAGGGCTGGCTGCAAATTGCAGTCCGAGGTTTCAATCTCTTTGAACAGATTTTAAAGGTCAATGGTATTAGCTGCAACTGTCAGCTGAGAAGTTCTGGGACACTTCTATCTCAGATGTGTGCTTACCTGGCTTGTGAGTAAAATTATTATGAGGTGAATTGCTCAGGTGTGGTCTAAAACGCCTGATTTTAACGGAGAACTCTACAAAAAACAGTTTCAAAGATTTAAAAAGTAAACTTTAAAATATTTTTCTACAGTGAAATTGGAACTAAATGAGAAGGTGTGACATTTTAAGATTTGTGAAATCGTAACTTTGCATGCTTTTGGCATGTTTAACTTGTAGGTAAAATGTGACCATTCCTTTGCTTATGATGCTGGTTTCTTCCTGTCTTACTTCCCAGTGTTATGTTTATATCTCCGCTGTTTGATACTTAATGACAACAAACTTTTATTCCCTGCAAAATGCCTCACACTTTAGACACTTCTGTAGAGGTTTTAAAGAATAGTAAGAAGCACATAATCAGTTTGACCATACAAATAGACATTTCAGAGGGATCCTAGGGTGGATTACAGACACACTGTTTACTTCTAAGTTAAATAAGGGAGGGGTCAGGTAACTTTAATAAAGTAACTATGAAACCAAAGCAGATAAGAGGGAGGAAAAAGAAAAGCTAATCATGAGTCTTGAAAATTGAAAGTAGGTATTCTTGACAGTTTTAAGAACAGGTATTCTCTGAGAGAGTTTGACTTTATTTTGATTGCCATTATAGTTTAGTCCATGGCACGTAGATATATTTTCAGAGTGGTGAGATGTGTTTTGCATTATGTGCTCTGTCCTAACGTTTAGAGCTCAAGCATTTGTGACGCTTAGCATGAAAAACAATTGTGGTTTTTCTCTCAACAGCTCTGGGAAAGGGCCCATACAAACTGGTCAGCTATTTGGATGGAAAATTTCTGATGGCAGTGAAATTGATGGGTGGAGTTGTTTTCCCAGTGAGAGATGAAGATACTCTTCCTGGACACGTAGTGAGCTTTATGCTGACTTCAGGACTTTATAAACCCAAAGCACATGGTAAAGTCAAAGTAACCTGGCATCTTAATTAAGACAGAGCAAATTCTGCCCTTGAATGCAAACCTATTTGTTCGCAAAGCCTAGCCATGATGATGCTTAAGAATAGACCTGGGTCGAAAAAAATATTTTCTTTATCTGCCAGCTGAATGTGCACTTCAATGCCAAAATTTTCATTTGGTTGTTTTTAGCTGGGTGATCATAGCTTTGTAAGCAGATACCTTTAGCTGAAAAGCAACAGCCTCCCCCAACCTTCAGAACCACCAAACTGGTATAGTAGCCTAGTGTTCCTGGTATGTTGCTCCCTTTACCTTTCTTCTGCCAAAACTGGGACATGGGAAAGAATGGGAGAGAAATGTTGCAAGAAAAGTGCTCCCTACTTCACTCGCTCTGCCACCATTGCTCACTGTCTGCCCACTTGCAGAGAGACGCCCACTGGCGCTAAACTGAGCTCTTTAAGGCTGAGTACTACAAATTTGTCTACTTAAGGTCCTGGCTTAGGTTTCCCCTAAAGGAGCATGGTGCTTATTCAGCAGACAAAAGATGTCTTGCACACCTTCACACAGGTGAAGAAAACTTAGAAGAACTTTTGTGACATTAACTAAATGCTGGAGTCGTCTGCATACACAACTTTAATGCCCACAGAGCACTTGAGTCTCAATAGAATTTTACTGCCCAGAGTCCCCTGATCAGCTCTTTGGACAGCCTAAAGGTGGCTGTCTTTGTGTAATCAAAGGATTATGGGTCAGTTGAAAAAATGACAAGCATTTGATAACTAATACTGCTGCCTGTAGAACTGACACAAGAACTCATGCAACAGAATATCTAGGGCCAGATTTCTTTTATTAGTCATAGTTTTGAGGCACTTGTACATTGCATTCCATTTATGTTTGGAAACAGAAGGTCAGTCCTACTGTTCTACTCCATATAAAAATCTCTTGCTCAAAATTTAACCTGCCAAATAGAATTTGTGCCTTCTGGTCCAATTTTAACAAATGGAATTTCATCATTTGGTCATGGAGGAGTTTGTATGATCAATAGGATGTATCATTCATAGAAAATTCTGGATTCTTTCGTACCTTGGCAAAATGCAGGTCTTTGATCAGTTTCAGGCCATTCTTGGGCATTGGAGAGCTTTGGGCATTGATGCACTGATTGGCTACTTAGCAGGTGTTAAAAATCACACTGACTGTCCATTGTTACTTCTTGCTACAGACAAATAATAAAAAACCATTCACTAGTACTGCTAGGGTTTTTAGATTAATTGAAGTTCTAATGCTTAGAAAACAAGGTGGTCTTCCAGAAGTGTTATGCCAGAATGTGGTAATGTATCCTTTTAATAAAGATAATTTGTTTTTTATGCTTTTTTTGTTGAGTAATTCTGCCCAGTCCCGGAGTGTTAGTTGATTTTACAGTAGTTTAATGACTGTTTTCAAGAGAACAGCAGAGTTTACAGCAAAACAGAATGAAGTAATTCTGTAAGCGACAGATGCCTGTAACAGGCTCAAGGTCCGGTGCTCTGCAATTGGTTGTACAGAGGCTGCTTGAAATCAGCAGTGCTGATTGCAGGGTAAGGTATCATGAGGGGACATTTGCCAGAAAACAGACTTTGCTGTAACATTCTTAGAGGAAGGGGTAGGGAGCTGAATGCAAAATATGTTTTTGTAATTTGTTTTTAATGAAAGGCTGAGCTCTTAAGCTATAAATTCCTGATGGCAAATGTTACTTGTAAAGCTAGTCAGATGAAGTTTAAATTTTTATTAAATAAATGGTTTAGCAAAGACTGCAAATTAAGTTGTGCTTGACTGCAGGGCTATATTCCTTTATCCTGGTGTGGGCAAATGTTTTAACCTGGTTGTATTCCTCTTGAAATCTGTAGAGTATTTAGAAAAGTAAATATCCATCACAATCTAGCAATCTGAAATCCATACATAGTGTATTTTCTTACAAGGTTCAGGCTGTTTTCACTGGAAAGGCCAAAGTCAGTTTTCATTCCTCACGTTACTAATATCAGTATTGGTACATCAGAATGAGCTTAGTTTATTATGCATATATCAGCGAGTAAACGAGTTCTGTGTATTTTGTTTTGTTTTTCAGATTCCAACTTGATATCATTTGAAACAGCTGAGAGACCAAACTATTTTCTTCACTTGGTCTCCAATAATACTCTTGTTCTTTCTAAATGGAAAAAAACTGAAGAGTTTCACAACAGATCCACATTTGTCATTCACAAGAATACATGGATTTCAGGATACAGTTCCTTTGAGTCATTTGCAAAGCCAGGATATTTCATCCACATTTCAGCCTCTTCAGTTGAGCTTGTGAAGTACCATCATTCAGAGGAATTCAGACTGTCAACCCTTTTTAAACTTGTAGGTAGGTGATTAAAATTTAATTTTATGAGCAGCAGTTTGCTCCCTGTGAAAATCCAGCCTAAATAGTGTAGATATTTTTGGAGGCTATGAGATTACTTGCTTCTCCCCTACCTCAGGGGGAGCTGTGGGTACTCCATGATATGCAGGCTGAAAATGTAAAAAGGTTCTAAAATCCCTGAGTGTTGTAATGATGACGAGATTCTTCTTTCTTGTGAAAAGCCAATAAATAGCTTAACATACAATTTTGTTTTGTTTACCAACTGGTTTTGGAAATACATATCCTGGTGTATAGTTTGTGGGCAGTACTGGCCTTTTAGATGGTAACAAAATTCTAAAGGAGTAGAAAATTCACCCTCATGAATAATGGATTAATGAAGGGAATAGAAAAGAATGGAATGGATCTCTAAAAGTTAAGGTTGGTGGATGACATTTTCTCCTCCTTTCTCTTTGCCTGCTGCCAAAAGAGTACATTCTCACTGCAAGCTTTAAGCCTCCTCAGAAGTCATGTTTCCCCTGAAAAACACCTTTACTTTTATCTACTGCCCACTCAGAGACGCTCTGACTTTTGTGATGTTAACCCCTAGTGTCTGAGTCATCATCTAGTTGGAGGTATTCACCTTTTCTTGAGGATCTAGATGTCCATTTCCCTGATGTTTCTTGAGCAGCTACATTTCTTGAATACAAACCGCAGACTGCTGTGAGAGTGTTTCTACCTATTTGAGAGATTCCCATTCCCATAATAGTTCCATTCCACTGAGACTTTAGGATGAGAAATGAAGAAGATACTCCTAGGGCCATTCACAGGAGCTGGCTGCAGAAGTTGCTCCTACAAGAACTGATGAAAAAACATAAAAAAATCATTAATCAATCAGGGTCTTTCTTTTTTAGATTATTAAGGAAAAGAAACAATTGGAATAACTGTCTTTACATATTCCTAAACACTTGGGAACCACGTGCTGAAATGAAGATGGCCTTACAGATCAAGAAAAAGATGCAAGAAGTTATATTTGCCTATAAAAGAAAGCAACCACTGTTTGCTTTAGCTTCTGCTTGACTTGACGTATCAGACACATCAAACATTTTCATATCACTTTATGAAATTCACTGACAACCACTACTTGCTGAATCCACTGGCTTTTGTGTGGTATATAAACTTCCAAGATCACTCCAAGTGTTTATTTTTATGTTCTAAATCTTTTTATTGTGCTGTAGTTTTAAATGGATTAGCAATTTGTTATTTGGGTAACAGGAGCATTTTAATAAGTATTCCTGGCAATACCATTTTTAAAAATAGTCTCTTCATTCTCTGACACTGAAATTGTTTTACAAACAAATTAAAAACAATACTGTATCAAATGAGGCGTGGCCTGGCCGTGTTTTGCAGCGACCATGTTGAATCTTGTTACAGGCAAACCTGAAGCAGCCTCTGACTTCTATGATAGGAGAGGCCAACTGTATGCCCCGTGGAGCTTCTTGTTATCAAAACATTGAATTAAAGTGTTAATGGTGTCATTTTGAATCTGCCGGTGTTTTGCAGTACATTATGCTGACAGCCTAATGCAGCTGTTGACTGGCACACTCCAACTTCAGAAAAATGACAGATTTTGTCATTGCCAAATGCCTGTTGCCTCTTGACAAATGTTTGTAATCACAAAGCTGTTGAGGTTTTTGGACAGCAGAATTATAGAGCTAATGCTATTACCGGGATGTGCGTACAGCATTTCAAGCAAGGAACCTTTTTGGACATAACAAAAATATCTCCTCAGTCTTTTATCTTTGAGGGAGGAATGAAGAAGGTTAAAACGTTCCAATTCTCAGTGGTCGTCCATTAACACAGAATGGTATGTCTTTTCAAGTGTGAAGTCTTTACCCTCCAGTCATTATACCAAAAAATCCTATCTATGCCAATGGAAAGCTAAAACAATTTACCTCAGCAAGTGGGACCAGATCAAATGATCAAGAGGTATTTCATTAATCGCCACATCCGAGGGCTTGGGTTTCAGAGTTTTATAAGCAGAGAAACATAGGGCTCGAATCTTTCTCCAGTGTACTTTCACAAGGGCCAGGCTGCTGATGTAGGGTAATTACATGGTCTAAAAATACAGCAGCATTTGTTTAAGTTAATGGAAAAGTTACACCAGCTCCAGAGTGCGCAGGCAAAAGCGTATTGAGTTTCCTGCTGACTATTGTAAATGCTTTACATATTAGATCAGAAACTCTGGAACAGCTATTCCTGCGGAATCAGAGGATAAATATCGGGAGCAGAATAATAGGCCCAGTAAATCCCCTTGGCCAGAAAGTTCCTCATGAGACTTCTTCATGCTCTGTGACGCACATTCAAAAGGAAGAATTTTAAATGACCTGATCGCCACAGCAATAGATACATATCTGTTTAAAGTCAGCTGACGAGTCACTTCTTCCAGTCTCATCAAGATAAATATTGTTGCATGGGAATACTTTGGCTATAAATTGCACTATAGAATAGCTCATGGGTTAAGGCTGCGAAGTGTTTTCCATGGGAAGTCACTTCAGCTTTTAAATTGGGTTGCTTTCATTATACTTAGATTTGTCTGCTGTCCTGTTCCTACAAACATTTGAGGAAATTGAGTTGATAACTGAATTTTAATGTCTAGCCTATTCTTACTCACAAGAAAATACATTTTTGCATTCTATTTAGGAATTTTTACTGGCAAATGGGTTGGTATGCAATCAGTCAAAAGAAAGAAGGCACTTGGCCTACCAGATGGACAAGCACAGAGGTGTCATGTAAGAGCGATCAATTCACATTTGAAATTGCTGGGGAATCAGTGTATGTAGGGAATTGATGATCTTTTTATGGATACAGCTGCAGTTTTCTTACCTTTTTTCAAAATCATGAGCTCAAGCTAGTTAACTTCTATCTTTCATATAATTATCACCCCTTTAAAATCACTATGGGTTATTTTTATGTCTGTTATAAAAATGTGACTTGCCCTCTACAAATTTTGCAACAAAGTTCTTAATAGTGTTAGTTATGTGCTTTAATAGCTTACTTGTGATAAATATGGGCCTGTTTTAGAGAGTTTTAAGCTAAAATTAAAAGCTCAAGATACAGGCACACTGCTCAGAGGTATTTTTCAATGTTTGTTTGATACAGAGCATTTTTGGTTCCTTTTAACGTTTGTATCTTAATTAACTGGATCACATTTGGAAACATAGTAAAAAATTGAAAATTTAATAAATTTTAATGAAAAACTTTTTTTTTGTTTGCAAAACTATCTTTCCACCTTAAGCCAGATTTATACATGATAACACTGATTATTTTAGCTTCTACTTACACTTATGCTGTTCCATGAGTGGAATTAATTTTCTAGAATGTCCTGTTTCACTCATAATGAGTTTTTGTGAGATAATTTGAGTTCATGGGCTTTCTTGGCCCAAAAGATCATGAAATGGGCCCTGGGACTGGATAATGCTGAGCACCTAGTGTTTAACCTGCAAATCCAGACTGTGTCACTGAGCACATCTGCTTGGTAGCTCTTAAAATCAGATTGAGGTTACTGTAGAATAACGTTTTACCTCTCATTTTTAACTGAAAAAATAGGAGGAGATTAAACAGTTAACATTGTAATGGTAAACTGAACTGTAAGTATTTGAGAGGTAGACAATTACATTTTTCTTTCCATGATGTTTTGGCTGGGCAAGAAGTTTAATTTTTCCAGTGATATTTGCTTACATTTCTCTTTGAAGAAACTTAGAAGTCATGAGCAGAGTTTGCTGGTAGTTTGTGTATGTTAAGTGGGTAGATAGGATTTCATGTTTCTAAACTTGTAACTGAGGAGATAGGCAATCTAAGTTACTAAGCAGAGTTTTGCTACCGTTATAAATAGAACTAATTCTAAAGCAATTTTTGTACCAAATAAAATGTTTTTTAATTTGGGGGAAAGGTATCAAAACATAAAAAAGTATCAGGTCAGAGTGAAAATCCAAGTACTTTTTTTTTTTTTTCATTATTTTTTAAACCCTTTTTTTAAATACCACCTTTTATTAACAGTAGAACACTTCAATTTTTAGGGTTTACTTTTAAGTAAACAGCCATTTTGGGGGGTATAACATTCATAATATACAGATTCTAACAATGTCAAATTTTGTCTCTGTAAGGTAAAAGCATAGAAAAGCAAGGTTGTCTGGACTGGTGAACATTGGGAATTGTAAACACCAAAAAAGTGGCCAAGCTGCTAGGAGAGGTGGTTGTGACTCAATGGAATACCACAGTCTGCCAATGATAAACAATTAAAATCTTCATTAAATGGTAGCAACTGTTCTTGTTATCACAGTACTATTTTTGAAAGCCACAGAGAAAAAAAAATCCTTAGTTACAGCGAAGAAAGTGCTGCTCTGATGTCCAAGAAAGTGAGGAAGCAGTGGAGCTGGGGAATATCTTTTAGTATATTGTCTTAGGCAGTGTATATGCCTGCATTCATTACAAAAGCTTTCTGCAGTACTATAATATGTTGATACGCTCAGCTCCTGTTAGGTAGGAGAACTGCGGGCTCAGCTGGTGTGTCAACTGCAGCAACTGCCACCCAGGACATAATTCACCATTTTGTTAAGGATTTGCTGTGTCACCAAACAGAAGACAAATGCTGGTAGACTTCACTAGGAGACACATGGATATTTTCAAATGCCATGACGAATCCTTTTGAGGAGCACATGCCTGATATCAGAAGCTTGATTCATTGTCTGTAAACTGTGTATCATTCTTTTGTTGTGAGTGAACTTTACTCTTGCATAGGGTATAGTAATCTCGTATTAATGGTTGCTGGAGGGGAAATTTAAGTATTAAAAAAATGGGAAGTATGTGGTGGAGGTGGCTGATTAGCATCCTGGCTAGCACAAAGAATTCATGCCATGACAGTGGCAAAATCCAGAGTTTCTGTGCTGTGGTGGTTTCAGTCATGGGAGTTGCAGTATTGTAGTAATAAGAAAGCTGAGGCTGGTCTGATGTGGAAGGTAATGTCTAAAATCAATACAGAGACTGAAAGGAATATTTCCCTTAGTTTAGGGAGACAGGTGCTTGAATGGCTTTAAAGCACATTGTTATTGCTTTTCCTTATATGTTAAAGATTAAATGATTGTGGGTATTGGGGTCACAGTTAATATACAGATTACTAAAAAAAGGCAAAATAACCTATTATTTAGCTAGGTATAATTGTACTTTATTGTTCTTTTGGCTTTTTCTTGACTTCATGTTAGTTCAGACCATGGCTCTGTGCCTCTGTTTCTTCTCCCCTGCATTTTCTGTCTAATCTCTACTTCATCTTAACTTTTTAAGCAGGAACTGCATCCTCACAGAATGATAAAATATCCTGAGTTGGAAGGGACATGGACACACAAGGATCATCGAAGTCCAACTCCTAGTCCTTCATAGGACAATCCCAGGAGTCACACCATGTGCCTGAGAGCATTGTCCAAACACCTGAACTCTGTCAGGCTTGGTGCTGTGACCACTGCCCTGGAGAGCCTGTTCCAGTGCCCAACCACCATCTGGGTGAAGAATCTTTTACCAATATTTAACATAAATGTCCTCTGACACAGCTTCAGACCATTCCCTTGGATCCTGTCACTGGTCACCACAGAGATCAGTGCCTGCCCTTCCTCTTCCCCTCACAATGAGGTCTCCCCTCAGTTCCTCTTCTTGAGGCTGAACAGACCAAGTGACCTCAATTGTTCCTCACACATCTTCCCCTCAAGGCCCTTCACCATCTTCATTGCCCTCCTCTGGACGCTCTCTAATCTTTTCTTGTGGTGCCCAAAACTGCACACAGGTCTTAGGGTGAGGCTGCAGAGTAGAGAGTTTGTTTTTGTGCTGTGTGTTTTGTTTTGTTTTGCTTTACAGTGGCTTGTGCAGTCGGTGTTAGGTCCTTGGGATGCTTAGGCATTTTAGAAGTGATGTTTACATTAGTAAAAACTTTGAATATGATAAAGGACTGAACTGATATTCTCCTAATGCTTGAAAGGCATTTTCTAATAACTCATAACAAAGCACAGATTTCACTATACCTCTTGGGTTTACTGAGACATACTGAAAACTTGCAGAGATAATGGAAAATAATGCAATGTCTTCAACTCTTGCTGTGGGGATTTGGTGTGCTCTGTAACGTAATTTATACACTAATACACGCTAATACAGCTTGGACTGGCATACTCAATTCTCTAAAATCCCTTGACTGGAAAACAAAATGTCAACTAGTTCTACATCTCTTTGAAAGCAATTTTTATGACCAGGTTCATGAATTCATCTGTTGTCCATAGTTCGTTCTGCAGATGTAGGAGCAAAATTTGCAGACAAGCATGACTTCATTCTTGACTCAAATCAGTGTTTATGAACCACTCAACAAATGCTATGCCTTTATGTAGAAATTTGCCCTAATTCCTACCAAGGCATGCAACACCACCAGACTCTGTGAACTTAATCTGTGGAAAAGCTTGAGGAAAGCATGGCTATCGTGTCATAAAGTTTATTTGGAGAATGGGAGATGGTATGTTAATCCCAGCACTTGGAAGTGTTAATTCACGATCACTGTTCTGCTAAATTGAGAAACTATCATTCTTCTTTGGGTTACAGTATGTCCTCTGCAAAGCTTGTACCTTTGTTGTGTTTCAGATTTATTCTGTGGTTAATGGTGAGTTTTGTGGCAAGAGTTAAAAGTCGTGGATTGGTCTCTGCACTTAATCTAGGGTAGGCTGATGAATGAGATTTCCTGGATTCCACTTGGCTTTACTATTATTGCTCGTTGTTACTATTGTTGGTGATTGCCTCTGCCATCAGGTCTCTGATGTATTCTGTCTTTCTGTCACGTATCTTCTTTTGTTCTTAAACCTTATCACTCTGACCAGGCGTGCATACAAACCCCTATACATCAGTCAGAAAACTGTATGGAAATAATTCCTTAATTCCTCCAGTAGATTTAAGTAACTAAAATTGATTTCAGTAGAAGGGGTCACAGAAGAATTCAGGGACATGTACTTAATTTCTTATGGGCACATAACTTCATAAAAACATTTATTACTGTCATAAGAATAATGTTTTTAAAAGCAGTGACAAGTAACATCCGTGGATAAAGTGAGATGTAAAAGGGGTAACACTAGATGGCAACATACCCACCCTTTTGTCTGAGTTTTAAGAGAATTATTTGTATTTTAAAAGAAGACATTAATTGGTTAATAATGACAGAGAGATAATTACTTGTAAGTACGGATGTCCCTAAATTGCAGGAAGAAAAATTTCTTAGGCTCTTCACAGAAAAAATGACTGTCTTCAAGAAGATGTAAAAGAGCTACTTTCTTTGTATCCCAGTCAAGCAAAGATCAGCAAAACTTAAAGAAAAAATACTTCGAAACATCAAAAATGGAAAGTCTTTCTAAGCATTTAGCATTTTCTTTCTGGTGTTTAATGTAAACATCAAGAGCAGTTACTCTTTGTAGGCTCTGAAGAACATTGCTCTAAGTTCATGTTTACCAGTTCAGAGGGAATACATATATCATGATGGTGCTTGTGGAGGCATAAATGCCCTACTGCTACTAGAAGGAGCTGGGGTGAGCTGTCACAGTTCAGGTACTGAAATCCAGATATATTGTGTAAATCTTGCAGGTGCTGGAAGAGCACTGGACTAACGTAGTATTATGTGGGAAACCATTCTGCAGGCAGGAGGGGAGGGCTGGAGTGAAAAAGAAAACGTGACAGTGCATCTGAACATACAAGTGTGTGTCACCCTCACGATGATTGCCATAAATTTGTGGCTCTCAGATTTTACATTCACTCTGTTTCTTCTTTACATTAATTTTCTAAAGTTTCAGCATAATTTAGTAAGTACTGGAAGTATATCTGATCCTCATTTCTGTTTATTCTCACTTTGAAGTTTAACTCTTCCTCTGTCTGAATTTGTACTTTGGGCTCCCGTTATGTGACTTGGAAATCTTTCAATAAGCACTGTCTGCACAGATGCTCTGAAGTCAGGTTGGGGTGTTTTTTTGTTGTATTTTGGTTGACTTAGGTTTGGAATTTTTTTTTACATTTTCCGAGTTTAATTACTGGTACCAGTTTCATTACTGGTGCTGGTATTTTGTGTGGTGCATTATACATTTTAAGCTTTGCAAGACTACGTGTTTCATCTTAAGTGAGTTGCTTTATTCGTTGTGGAAGCAGTTAGAATTTCAGATTCAGAATATCTTGTACGGCTTTTGAGAAGATTAAATATTAAGATATACTGCTTTAAAGAGCCTTGGCATAATTTCTGATTACTTTGAAATGGTATTTTGTTTTGGCTTTTGAAATACAATTGTATTGTACAGGTTATGTACACCTTTGTGTTATATCAGCAAATTTTACACATGAAGTAAGCAATTGTTATGATAGCCTATGCTGTAAAGTGCGTCAGTGAATCCAAATAGTGTGTTTAATTTTGATTCTAAGCAATAATTGTACAGAAATATCATAATCTTAATTTTAAAATTTGTTTGAATAACCAAACATGTGGTTTCATTGTTGATATATTTTTTAAAACTTAAAAGCAACAGCTCTAACTTGCCTGGTTTTAATTTTCATATGATTGTAATATATAGTAAATGTGGCTAATTCAGTAGTATTTTTTAACACTGTAAAGAGTAAAACACACTGTAGAGCAAGCATACTCTAATATATGCTGCATAAATGTAAACTGGTTGGCTTTCCATTTTAAAAACCTCAGTAGTTAAAAATATTACCAATTTTATTTGTAGAGGAAACAGGTAGAAACAGTAGCAGATTTAGAGCTGCAGCGAATGTAAAGCATGTCTCTTAGTGATATGTATCTCTGTGTGTTTCTAGAAATATATGAGAATAACAGATCTTTGTTGATTTTCAGATGTCAAATTTAAATTTCTGTCCCGTTCTACATGTGAATGGCGTTATGATGCCTGTACAAGTCCTTGTTTCAAGACATGTAGAGACCCTTTGGGAAAAAACTGTCAGACAGTACCAAAGTAAGTATCTGTATTTTTATGGAAAAGTGTGTAATTTGGGCAATATACTTAAGCAGGATATCAGGAATATAAAGGACCAGATACACACAGTATATCAGGACTGTGTTCTTCTAAAGGAAATAGGGGAAAGAGAAAAGAAGTAGAATAAAACCTGCTGCTGCAGCCATAAAAAAGCGACATTTCCGTCCTTAGCGTACTGTCAGATTCTGGAACAACTAGTATATTTGTATGTGTACAGTCTGAGGGGGTATTAATAAAGAAAGGTTATTACAAGTTGATTTCAAATAGTTGTGCCCCTACATTTCCATTATCTCATAGCAACAGCCAATATCTGTCCTTGCTTTTCCTTCCCGGTTGGAATTTTTGGTAAGCCTGGTAAAACTGGCATTTGGATTTTCGTGTGTAAAAATGTTTGGTGTCTCTTAAGCAATAGTATTCACTGTTGAACCTGTGACTGTTAATTTCAAAGGCCGAGTACCACAGAGTTCATGCTTTAGCTTAGGTCTGAGTGAGAATGGAAGTCATGGCAATGACATTTTGAGGGAGTACACTGAGGTGAACCAGAAATACTTTATACATAAATTCTGTTTTCCTAGAATTAAATGCTCAGTCTAGAATATACTGTTCAATTATTTAATAATAACTGTTTTTCTTTTAGAGTGGAAGGATGTATCCCTGCCTGCCCTCTCAATATGTTGCTGGATGAAATCACTCAAAGATGCGTGTATTTTGAAGACTGTATGTCTGAAAAATTATATATATTATGTATTATACTTAGCTCATTAATTTCTTACTTCTTTACTCATAATTTCAAATATCAGTGCCTACATTTGTGTAACTATGACCTTAGTTACATGAATCTTGAGCTCACCGAACATACACTTTTGTTAAAGTAATTTCATTTGTCAAAAATATGAGAAAAATTTTAAACTAAGAAAGATGTTCGTGCTTCAAAACATTTCAGTTACGTTATATTTCAAGCAAATGATTTAATGAATTTATTTTTTAATGTATCTGTGAGCTTTAGAAATTTAAAGGCAACTGAAGAGATCGGTTATATGAGCTAACCCGTAACTAAACTAACTTCATCACTATAATTGTTCATAAATTTCAGACTGTTTCCTTGTGTCTGATTTCAGGCATTGAACCTACAGATGATATTCTGCCTTTGCCTCCCAGCATTCAAACACCAGCAGTTCCATACATAACATCAAGTGCAAGTTTGGCAGCGATTGGTGAAGTGTTAACTTCATTTCCTGTGTCTGAAGCAAAGGACGTGGAAACGACACTTGCTACAAAATTGCAGCTCACTGCAACTACAGGGAAAACTGAATTTTCAGCTGTTACATCTAATATAACACTTCCAACCTTATCATCAAATATTTCATCACAGTCAACAGAAATGACATCTGGGAGAAGCACTAAAGCAATATCTGGGGCAACAAAATCTGGTGTAAGCTTGTTTGCTTCTGTTGACATTTCTCCTGTGTTTACATCAACTGTCAGTTCAGAAACTTCCACAAAGATACAAGTGATCAGTAGTGGTTCCACTAAACTACTGAGGGCCACAGAATCTCAGACACTAACTGCTACACATGCAGTGACAGAGTCAGAAAGTAAACCGATTACTACTTCTGTTTTTACTGGGACACCACTCATACTTAGAACAACAGAAATGCCAGTCAAAACCAAAACAATGGAAATATCAGAAATAGCCATAAGAACACTTCCCACAAAAGAAGCTCAAGTAAAGCCAGAAGGAGTTGTAAGGTTTACACCCAGTTCATTTGAATCAGTAACAGATAAAACTACTGCATATGTGCCACAGTTTTCCAGATCACCACCTGTGGATGAACCTTCATATACACCACCAGTAAACTTAACAGGAACTTCAGAAGAGACAAAAATTGGTGTAGAACAGTCTTTTAGCACAGTAGCTAATGTTACAGTAACATCAGTTTCTCCTATGCTCACTACTTCATCTTTGCTAAAACCTGTGTCTTCAGCAACAGCAGCAGCTGTTTTAACCAAGCAAAGTGTGAAGACAACATTTTCGCCAACATCCATGCCATCTATTTCATTAGGAAAGGCAACTATAGAACCTGCTTTTGCAATGGTTCAACACCTGACTGGTACTCCAGAGGTACCTTTCACTACAACTCTAGGTCCAAAGAAGACAACTCTACAAACTCAAGAGAGGTCATCAGAAACGACTTTGTTATCACTTGCAACTCATAAAAAGGAAATTGCCAAAACATCATCTCATGTGGAGCATACATCAAGTTCCTATTTCCCTCCATATTCTCTACACCCTAGTTCTACAACTGAAAGATCTTTCACTTTTTCCACAAAAAGACCTTCAGTGTCTGTTCCTACTCCTGCTTCTCCAGCTTCAGGTGAATTTAAAAAAACATTTAAAACTGTTTCAACTACAGGTTATCCCTCATACACAGTTCTAAATACAACACAGTTCCTGACTACATTGTACACTAAGTATCCTCTTGTGGCTGAGACTATCAGAGCGACACCTTCGTCTGTTAAAGTAACATCCAGAATAACATCCCCTTTTGAATTAGCAGCAAAGACAACTTTGTTTTCTGGAAAAACATCTACCGAACACAAGTCAACTCTGGTTTCAAGTGCAGCCAAGAAAAGCACTTCAGCATATTCAGGTAGTGTTACCACACCAGAAGTGAAAGTCAAAGAAACCACCACAGTTCCTTTTGTAGCTACAGAAAGAGAATCATCTCAAAGAACATCCATCACTGAATCTCCACTTACTCTCCTTAGTGGAACTGAAACTGCATTATTGACAACACAGCCTGATAAATCACAAGTGGAAAGTATTACTACCACCTCTACTAGACAGCCATCTGCCTTGACTTTTTCACCATCAGGTTCTCTAATCCCTTTAAACATTACTCTTCCTTCACTACCCTCAGATGGAAAAGAAGTATTACTGACAACTCTCAGTCCCATACATACATCCCATGAAACAATCTCTTTGTATCCAGGAACTACAGAAAAACCTATGTTAACAACAGAAAAGACCTCTCCAGTCCTGACTTTTTCTGTTTTATCCACTATAACAGAACAATCAAGTCTAGTAACGACAGTATCATATGAAAAATCACCAGGCAAAGCCATTTTGAATATCACTAATGCCACGATCTCCCCATCCACTGAATTTAGCAGCCAACTCGTAACAACCACAAAAGTAATGACAGGCAGAGAAAAATCCTCTCCCTCCCCTTCTGTTGTACTTCCAGTAACAAAGTCTTCTTACACTTTCTCTACCTCTCAGTATCTAGGAGATAAGTTAGTTTCTTCTTCTTCTATAACCCAACGGATACCAGAAGTAACAACCACACCAAAATCTTCAATAGAAACTAAAACAGTTTCTACAGCACTGAAACCTACAATCCAAAGTATAACAGATACAGTGGAACTTACATCAGCTGCAGCTCAGCCATCCCTGCCTCCATCTTCAGCAGGCCCCTTCTCTTGGCAGACATCTTCGGGAGATAAACTTCCAGTAGAGACCACAAAGACCATGGTTACACCACATTTTTCTACTCAGAAGATTATGGAGCTTGATCATCAGACTTCTGAACCTTCCCTGGTGAGCCAAAGCATTACCCCAGTTTACCAGTATCCTGCAGAAACTCTAACAAAATCCACTGGTCAGCCACGTGCCTTTGGCACAACGGAAGCTACAGTGAAACTGACTTCCTTATACCCATTAACCACCTCACTACCTGAGGGCATTCATTCAAGTGTATTGCCTTCCTCAGTAGGTCCTACAAAAGTTCTTTTACCAACTGAAAAATATTTACATTTAACTGATTCAGTCACGCTGCCACATGTATTAAGAACTTCTGTCTTGCAGTCTGCAGTCCCAACTAGAACAACAGCTGGCTTTATTTTTGGCACCAAAATTCCCTCTTTCTCACCAGAAGTGCTTGCAACTTCCTCCTCTTTAACAACAATTAAAAAGGAGCCATTTCCTTCATTTTCCACACAAAAGGCAGCTACGGATCTAAAATTCACTCGCCAGGCCTCGGTCACTGAATCACTTGATTCAAGACAAACACTTGGAACAACCTCATCTTCACCAAGTTCTAAGTCAACCTCTTCAATGGTTTTGTTACCAGAAACAACAGAAATTCCCATTGTGATGGGGAGTGGGCCATCCACATCAACAAGCAAAAGTGATACAGAGAAAACTGCAGTGTTGCCTAAGCAGGTGACGACCTCAACCACCACCTTCAGTTCCACGTTTGTGGCAAGTACAGCTGCAGCTTCAGCCTCTTCAGTGATGAGCAGTGCTGGGCAAAATGTTAGTATTGCATCAGCAATTTTAGGCAAAGCGGAAGCAGTCACAGAACCCACCACAAGTGCTGTGAAGCCCAGTTCTCTTACTTCAGAAGCAAAAGGAGCCGTGTCCCTTGACACAGTAAAATCTGAAGAGCCACAATTACCAACCCAAGTCCAACCTGTTCTTACTCAGGGTGTTACCGTTAGCCCAGAAACACCTCAGACATTTTACTCTCCATATTTCACAAATAAAACTTCAGTTCTCTCCACTATACATTCATCTTCTGAAACAAAACCACTTCCTTCTGTAGCTGCATCATCAGTCAGTACTGCTCAAAGTTCAAAACTTGAAACATCATCTGAGGTGCGAACACCTTCTGTGAGTTCACTGCTAACGGTATCTGATCATCCAAATGACACAACAGCTCCATCAGTTTCCTCGTTGACCTATTTATCTACCAAACCACTTCATGGCTTAACTACAGCACTTTCTGATGGACTGGCAACAGCTGAAGCCGTGTCAGGAGTGACAGCATCACCTTTTATGGTGCCTCAAGAAACAGCAACTCTTCAAACTTGTACAGTGAGTAGCTATAAATATTTATCTGTCTGTTTTGGAATATGCCTTTTATACACTGACTAAAAATTTATGAGCCATACCTTCATCTTTAGGATTTAAAATATCTGTATCAAACAGGGAGCCCAATTGTGTTATCAACTATATCTGAAACCTTGGATGATTTCATTGCACATAATTTCTTTTTCTAAATGCTATACTACACTCAATTTTAGGCCTCTGAGGTGTGACCGTTACAAGAACGGGGTTTTGGGCAAAATATGATGCTTTTATATGCTTTTGTCATGTCACCCTCCTTAAAACATATCTTTCCAGAGATTCCTGTTATTATTCCTGCTTGTGCGCTTCCGTATTTTTCCTTCTCAACTTTTTCCAAAGTAAAGTTAAAAATTCAGTAGTGCTGTTCTCACCTTTACAGCAGGACAGCAATGTTAATGTGTCCTCAGAACGGTCAGGTTTTCAACATGCTCTTCACTGATAGCTTCTTTGAGTGTCATAGGGATCAGTAAGTATTCTGTACCTGAAGAATGTGAACCTCTTTTTTTAAACAAAAACTTTGCAATATTGTGATACTACATTGATAAGAATGGTAACCGGTGTCTTTTATTAAATGTGCCTTAGCCAATCACAGAGGATGAGTGCATAAAACACATTTGCTTGGATGGACAACTGATCCAAGTTAATAAGTCCCAGAACTGCCCATACAATGCAACTCAGCCCAGCTGTGGAGTTTTAGGATTTGCTATTCAAATGAATGGTGACAAATGCTGCCCAAAGTGGGAATGTGCATGTAAGTTTTAATTATGTACCTTTGAAGTGGATTTAGGTTACAATTTAATGCATGTGTAAGAAGGCTAAAAACTGACACTTCTGTACTATAGCATAGACGTAGAAGATGCACCCTGTACAGGTTGCTCATTGACTAATGAAAGTTATAATTCTAGTTGTACATCCAGGGACATTAAATCAAAGTGCTCCTTTAATTTAGGATATTCCTCTTACTCAGCTTTAGGTATCTGCAGTAAATATGTCCAAGTCTGACTTAGACACATCTTGTCATTGGTCTGTCTAATCAGGGGACACTTAACAATATAGTCAGTGGATTCTTTGGTTCATTTTATATCTTCTGGAGGATGAGAAGATTCCACAGACTGTTAACTATCTCTGTTAGCAGTTTGGGGATTCTGTACAGTAGTCAGTCTCATCAGTTACTTGGAATTGGGTAGAAGGAATCCAAACTTTGAAGAAAATTTGTTTTAGTACATAATAGTAAGGAAAGTATGCAGAGATGAGCAACTGGAATTTCTGGTTGTGCTCTAGAGTTTGAAACAACTCAGAGTAGAACTTCAAGACCTTTGAAATACAAAAGCTTTAGCAACGAGACTGGGAAATATAAACTTTCCACGTTAGGAACAAGACTAGAAGGGAACTAAGGGTCTGGTGGGAGCTACTGTCATTCGTGATTTTTCCTAATTTAGGATTTGTAAAAATGGCAAAGCCTTGCTGGCAAGACCTGTAAGTAAACAGATAATTGCAGAGGTCTGCAGGTTGTCCCCCTGAAATATGCAGGATTTGACTCTGCTGTCCATTTACAGAGGTGCGACGGTATCAAATATAGCTGAAAATATATGTTGCATATATGAAACTCTAGTAAGCTAGTCAGTCTTCTAAAATGTATCTTCATATTTTTTAATATTTACTGAAGTTCTAAAATAAGTTCGAAAAAAAATTTACTATTTTTTTCCCTTAGGTCGTTGCACCATTTTCTCTGATCTGAGCATTGTAACCTATGATGGAAATCATTTGGCTTTATTCAAAGAAGCATCCTACATTGTTAGTCAAACTCGAGATGAAACTATAACCATCCATGTCCTTGACTGTAGAATGGTAACTAACATTTATCACCTAACAGAAGGTGTTTGGTACTACTAGTAAGATGTATCCTAAAAGCAAGAGCATAGTAATATTACATAGTTGTGGTTGTTATTGACTTCTGTGCAATATCTATGAATTATACTTGCATTTTACAACACTCACAACTTGTATAACACTTTATCACCTGACTGCATATGCATAGTTCCTTCTGAGACAGCTGGAAGATGAGAAGTAGATCCATGTTATTGTATGAGCAGTGTGGACAAGGTGGTGAGAGATTAAGTGGATACACATCATCAGTCACTTCTGTGAGGGCTGTCATATAACAAATACCACCATGACTGGTATTTATCACCAGTATATTACCAGTGTATTTCAATGCATGATTTTTTACCTATGTTCATGTGGAGAAATTCACATTGAAAACACCAGTCTTCAGAGCCAAAAAGACTGTAGGAATGCCAGACTGAATCAGACCACCCTGTGCATTCTGAGTCTCTGACATGGGAGGAAGAGAGAAAGCCTGGTGGGCACCCTTTCTAATGTGTAGTGTGGATTGGCTTTTGTCATGAAAAGTTAATTTCTTACGAGCCTTTACAAAACTCTTTAAATTCCAGTCTCTTCTATGAAATCTAGGTAATTTTGATATCTGTAAATAAATGTCCATTACGAAGTTTGGTCCCAAGTGGCACCTTATGGAAGTTAATTTCAGGAGTTCAATATGATTGATATGAGAAAGATGTGTTTATGATTTTCAGATTTGTTTTCCTGTTGCATTCAGTATTTGCATCCTGTTTTGTTCAGTGCCTGTTAGCTCAGGAGTTATGCTTGTATTATGCGTCCATTACTTCTGTACTGTACATATATCATACAGATCCATCACTCTTAGTCTCATTCTTGCTCACCTTCAGGCACGTAGGTCGTTTTTTTTGGTGTCCAAACAGCTAGTCCACTAGTGGGTTTTTTTCCCCTGCAAACTTGTATTTCTGTTGTAATTGTATCAATTGTATCAACTGATTGCATCATACAATCATAAGACTGTGTGATAGAGCACAGTTACTGTAAAAAATGAGATCACAGTATTTTTCCTTGTTTATTTTGCAAGAATGCTATCCAGATAAACTTTGTAGTCTTGACTTGAAACTGTAATCAGCAATGGATTTCCTTTCTTAATAATATACCCCCCAAAAAGTCCTTAATTTCCCAGTGCCTAAAACCAGTAAGTAGCTAATGTAGAAAGATTTTTGCACATTGTGACTATGGTAAATGTATTTTTGTTTTCTCCACAGAGTAACTTAAATTCAACTTCTTTGTGCCTGGCAATGTTGAATCTAACCTATGTATCAAACCAAATTATTATCAATCGTTTAAGTAGAAAAGTAAGTATTATGAAGATTTTTCTTTTCCTTTTAGATAGCATCTTACTTCTGTAACCAACTGCCTTCTCACATGGATACTGAGGATTAGAGTAGAACAAAAAAAGTCATATAATTCGTTGATTTCATAATTTAGTGAACTCCTATTAAATTCAAAGAGCCAAACTGTCCTACAAGAATAGTTAATGAGGTAAGTCACAGAGTAAGGCACATAAACTCTTGGTCCCTTTGGTGCCTGTATTATCTTTGTGGAGGAGAGCCTGACTTCTTTTGAAATTAGTTATGATTTAGATTCCTAAGCTGCTGAGAATCTGGCCTTAGTTCTTCTGCCTGACAATTAACCTCTCTGCCTGTTTTTAGATAACAGTAAATTCAAGATCTGCTTGGCCTACTGTAAGAAAATATGGATACAAAGTTGAAGATTCAGGCTTCAAGTATGCGGTTGAGACCCCATCAAAAATCAGAATTCAGTGGTTTCACAACACAGGTGTGATGATTATTGAGTTTAATAGTAGCAGAGAACCAAGCACTTTGGGACTGTGTGGTAAGTATAGACTAGTGTAAGCATGAGAGGAATTCATATGCTTTGCTAGGGGGACAGTTTCCTAATTATACAAGCTGTTTATTGCAGGATCTGTCCCAAAAGAGTTATTGCAGATAACTGCAAAGTTTAAAATACTATTAAAATTAGTCTGTTATTAATTTTGTTAGTTGTTGAAATTATGTTTGATATCTACCCAAATAAATAAGACAGGTATAAGTCCATAATGTCAAATAGGTCATTTACAGATACAGTGTTTGATATCCATCTGATAGGAAGCGATATGTGCTATTTTCAGTTTCTAAAGGTCAGAATTCCCAGGAAATGTTAACTTGAGAGAACTAATCTTACTTTATCTGTTGAAGGAAATAGTTCGGAAGGAATTTCTTAATAGTGGCAGCTTAACTAAACATCATGTTGCACTCTGTTAGATCAGTTCAGTAGTTTTGCCTACTTTCTTTTTTTCTTAAAATCATAGCCTCGAATAAGCTGTAGGTGTTATAGCTTTTGCAAGCATGTAAATTTATCTTCTGTAAATTGGAGCTGGAAAACGGGATTAAAGAGATCATATAATTGCAGTGGATGTCTTTCCAGTTTCAGAAAGGGCAAATGCCTGGAGCTCAGTATCAAATACCAGTGATAGCTCAGTCCAGTTTCAAGTCCTAAAGACAGTAATGTGCTTCTCACAGAGTTTGAATTCGTGCCATTTTGAAATTGGATTATTATCTGTAATTTACCCTAACTTTTGTTTTCAGAACCATTCTGGCTCTCTTTGTCTAATTGTTATTGTAATTAGATCAAACAGAAACAAGAAAGTTAAGACTGTGGTTTTTTTAATAAGCCTAGTTGAAGTTATCCTGAAAGTATCTTTTGCCTTTATGTGTTTGATTACTGTGATAGGGAGCATTGAGAACATTATGTTCCTGGTTTACAAGGCATTTTGACTAGATGACAACACATTTCTGTGGATGATGTTGCAAGTACAACTTCTTCAGAGAGTGTGCTGTGTATTTCTGGTATTCCTCCCTGACTGGGATTCTTTGTATAGGTCTGCCTGCACAGTGCTGTCTGGTGCAACTCAGAGAGCCTGCTTGAAGTGAGCTTCTTGTGGTGCATCTTTTCAGGCTAAATTAGTCTACTCTGATCTCCTGTGCTTTCTGTGTAATTCTACTGCTCGTATTTGACCTTTCTCAGATGTCTTTTAGCTGAACGGCAGTATTGGTAGATCCTGATTTCTCAGCTTCATGGAAATCTAAAACTCAAGATACCACTGCAGTTTTGTGGCACAGTCATCCCTTGGAGGGATTCATGTCAGAGACAACAGTGTGTTTTACAGTACAAGGATTGGCCAAATGTGGCAGCTGGTGAAGAGCTGGTGTGGGAGAGGAGGGATGTGGGAAGGGAATATTGACATCTCCACAGCAAAACTGGTGAAAGAGAGTGCAAGAATGTCAGTTTTAGCTGTAACCAGATCCTGCCAAGACAAATGTGAAGCCTTAGTTTTGCTGTGTTAAATCTCCTTGTCAGTGTACAAGAGAAGTGAAAAAAGATACCCCTGACATGACAGCAATCCTTTGAAGTCTTTCAGAACCATCAAGTACTTCCTATCTGTGTTGGATATACTCACAACCTCAAAGGGTTCAACCAGAAACATTTTTTATCAGATAAAGGTTACAGTTTGAAAAGCTGTTGTACTCTCTGAATGCCTATTTTTGTATCACTGATTGTCAATGACTTGCTCTTGTCATAAGGGATTGTGAAAAATGGTAAAACAGATTAGTTCTTTAGAAAAGGGTGAAATCCACAAATAGTTTTTGAACAGATAACTAACTGTGTTAACCAAACTCACTCTTCATGTTGCATTGCTTCTTTTGCTCCAAAGTGATTCAAAATTGCCAGCTATCTTAGCTAAAACAGGGGAAAAAAAGGTAATGCTGCCTTCTGTGAAGCAAATATAGAAAAGTTGGATTTGTTTTTCTCCTGCTGAGTGGTAATCTAGATATACCTGGAAGTGCCAAAACTTCTATGGTAGCTCTTCAGCCACAGATGCTTAAGATTGCTCAGAAGCATAAGTAGAATGATACAGTACACCTGAAATACAGTATCAGACAAGCATCTTGCATTTAATGGGAGTTCCCTTTTCTGACAACATTTACAGTTTTAATTTGTTGCTATATACAGAGGTGCTTTGTAGCCTTCTTTAAAATAGATTTTTGTTTAGTGCCCGTGTAACTGAGGGCTGAAGTTTTGTGCCATAGCTGGGCTTTCTGAACAGCTCTTGGATAGGCAATAGATTTCCACTCATAGATGCATCTTTAGTTTTTCTTAAATTTTCTGAATTTTGTGTATTTTGATCCTCCCAAAGGCTTTCTACATCTGTTGTAGCTTGTGATACTGTTGTGTTGTATAAGATTTTGAAAAGCTATTTAACTTATTTGAATATGCCACTTCAAACATTCTTCAGAATGAATCACGTGGTGTTAACCTTTCTTTCCTTTCTGGTAATTCACAGGGTTTTGTGATAGAACCTTGGAAAATGACTTGATGCTACCCAACAGGACAGTTTTAAGCAAAAGCAGTTCACCATCGACTTTTATAGACAGCTGGCAAGTGCCAGACACGTTAAAGTATGCTGGAGAAGACAGGCATCAGGAAACTAATTGCTCACTCACAGACTGCTCAGAGTGCTTAAGAATGGTGTTGAACCAGACCTTCAGCAGCTGTCATCCTTACGTATGTTAACTATTTCAAAGCTTACATTTTGAGAGAGCTGCAGTTCAGAGATAATCTTGCATACTTGATAATTCCATTAATGAGAGACTGCATGTAAGCACATCTATTGAATGAGATGTATAGTTTTCTTGTATCTACAGTTGCAAGGTAAAACTAATTGATGAGTATGGCAGCTTGATAGGAGAGTTGAAGTAAACAATTAACAAATTCAGAATTTCAACTCTATTAGTTTTGAAATAATGCCTAATTCTCAACTTATTCAACTGTATCAGTAAGATGTAGAGAAAAGTAAAAGAAAATAGTTTTAAGATTTAATTAATCCTTAAGCCTTCAGCAATTTAACAAGTCCCAAATTGCAATAGGTAATCTGAGAACCTGCATTCTCAAAGGCTCTAGAGGCACAATTCCAGCTCAGAGATGTGAAAGGGTAGAACAGTTCCTATAAAGCAAGCCTAAGGCAAATAACAAACAGTGTGCAAATAAATTATTTCTGGTCATATGAATGCACTACCATTTGACCTTTTGTATACTGGTGAGTTTGATGAAGAGGAAGCCAAAACCAGGTAAAAATATAGAGGTATGGAAGAACAAAAAACAAGTAATTATGCCTTCTACTGGAAAAAACCTCTATTACCTCTTACGTTGTCACTTATAGGAGATGAAACATTCAGAAAGTCTTACTTTTAAATACTAGTAGATTATCTCTGTACACCAATGAAGGCTTACTGTAAACAAAGAACTTTTGGCTTCGTTGTTTGTAGATATTTTAAAAGACCAGTCTTTTTCCTACCTAGTATAGTCTCTATGAAAGTGTCATATCTTTTTTTTTTTCCCTTTGTTAGGTTCCACCTGAGCTGTTCTGTGATATATGGGTTCAAGATATTGAGTACATTCAAAATCCATGCATTTCCCTAGCTGCCTATGTGGCAATGTGCCACAAATTTAATATTTGTATAGAATGGAGGAGTTCTGATTACTGCCGTAAGTATTCTGCATGTATGTGCACCTCTAGTGCTCACAGAGATAAAACTTGCCTAGTGCAAGAGTTACTGCAAGTTGAAAATGCCCATAGAGTCTTTGTGTACTTTGGAATTATTACTGAGATAATAAATTCAGCATTTTTTATTAAACACTTCCAAGGAGTATTCAAAAGGAATCAGGATCATTATAGCCATTTCAAAGATGGAAAAGGTTATCCAAAGAACCTTGCTCACTAGTCTACCTCTGGCTTATTATGTACATTCATGCAGAAGTTAAATCTTCTCTCTTGCAACACAGTGTTTTGTTTCTCAGCCACTTCCCTGTGATAAAACCAAAATGCAACAGAATTGGTTGCGGAGAGGAGGAAACCACCAAAAAATAGCACTGAACTGAACACTGTTACTAGTCTGTGTAGTATTTGCAAAGGTTTTTGAAGTTTGAATTAATTTGTGTCAACACTGTTGACATGGTTTGATATCTCTACTGCCAAAATGCAAACTGAAGCCTGATGAAAATATTATTACAAGAGAAGTAAAAGTGCTTGAAAATTCCTTTTGATTCAATTTGCCATGTAGAAGGTAACCTGTTTGTATTGGTGTATTAGGTTGGTAGATCTTCTCTTAGGTGTTGCCTCATGTAATTACAACTTCAGAACATGTGATTTGTTTATTTCCTTTCTAGCCTTCCCCTGCTCTGAAAACTTCTCCTATCAGCCTTGTATAGCTGCCTGTGAGGTTGCAGACAGTTGTCAGAATAACGAGGTTGCTTCTCTGGATTCAGACTCCTGTTCAGTGTTGACAGAAGGCTGTGTCTGTGCTGGAGGGACCATCCTTCACCGAACTCATACTGCTGTCTGTATTCCTGAAGAAAAATGTGGTATATTTGGATGTGATTTTCTTCTTTATTATCTGCAAGTTGGTGGTCAGATACTTCATTACTAATAAGTTGAGTTCTGGTTTGGTGTTGTGTGGGTTCTGCATGTCATTCAGTTGAGGATTCTAGATATTCAGCAAACACTAAGTGTGCAGGTGAGCAAGCAGGGAACGTCCTTGTAATATACAATTTTCTCACCTGTCAGCTGAAGAGTGCTCTTCAAAATGGAAGTCTTTGTTTATGCATTCCAGTATTCTAAGCGTATTAGTTTTGGCCTCCTTTTCACCTAAGCCCTTTGTCAAGGGTCCAGCCTTTCAACACTAAATGGCATTCAAACGATATGCAGCAACAGTTAATTACACACTTTGAATACATGTATATGTCCTATGTTCTTCCTGCCAGCATTCACGTTTGTATTTATTACAGTTCTGCCTCAGCACACCAAATAGTGAACCAATGCCTAAACAACACAAACCTTAGAGATGCAGATTTATTAAGATTTATTATGATAAATCAGACTCCATAAAGCACTGTAAATTAGTAATAGTTTTGATATGTCTGAAATAAAAAAGTATTTTGTGTGGAGACACAAAAAAAAGTGGAGGCCCAGATCTTCTAGAGTGTCTTGCTTTCCCACAGGAGCTCAGTCTCAGACTGTCTCCTCCTTCACTTTTTTTTGGGAGGTGGTGGAAATAGATGAAGCCTTTAAAATTCTGGGATTTTTATACTTCATAGAAAATGGTAGTCAAAATCTGAAGTAAAAAAAAAAAAATATTTTCTGTTGTCCTGATCTAGCTTGTACAGACAGCTCAGGAACACCTCACGCAGTGGGTGAGATCTGGAACACTTCTTCGAGCGGATGCTGTATGCAAAAATGTGTTGACAGTGAGACTATTATTCCAGTGGAGTACAACTGTTCAGATACCCACAATTTAGACTGTCAGCGATTTGCAGAAGTGGCCTTGCATGTTCCTGGTGACCAGACCTGTTGTCCCCAGAAGATTTGTAGTAAGTATTCCTCGACGATTATGAATACTGCCACTGAAGTATGCAGATACCTTTACTCTGTGCTGTTTTTTTTTCCAGTTACGTATCCTACTTTTGAAGCACAAGTAAATTACTTTGGTTTGAATTAAGAGATTACACAGAAAATTGTAGAAACTTTGTACGTTTGGCTTGATATCTGGTAGGTTTTGGGTTAGACGTAGAGTTACAGATGAGGGTTAAGAGGACTAAAATAGTGCTATGTTGATTTGGATATGCATTGTTTCTCTCAGTTGTAAAGGTTACTGTTTTATTTTTAACATCTGAATACTAGCAAAAGATGTAAGTAATTCTGAGAAAAAGTGTTCTGGTGATGGTTTATCAAATTTAGGAAGTGAGTAGTAAAAAATTATAGAAAAGGGTTTTTTTTCTTTTAATCCTTTCTTAGCATAGAAAGCCCATCTTCAAGAAGAAATTTCATGCAGTTCCCATGTTTTGACTATCCGGTATGATGCAGTGAGTTTTCCACAGGATTTTATTTTTTTCAATTCTTACGAAACTCTAGTTTAGTGTTGCCTCCATGGAGAGTATTGCAAATGATGGATACTTCTTAATATTTCCTTGGGATTTTTTGGTAGTTCATTGTGGCTTCAGATGCATGTTGTTATTTGAAGATTTGGGGCATCTAACTGCAAACACTGGTTGTCACTGCTCTACTCAACTTAAAAATGCATAGTTTAGAAGCTGGTTGTTATTTTTTTTTCTTTCCCTGTATGTAACAGTTTGTAACCGGAGTCTCTGTGAACACCTAATCCCTGAGTGTAATGTCTTGGAAAAGCTGGTCACTTACTACAGTGAAGAGTCCTGTTGTCCCAACTACGTCTGTGGTAGGTTTCTTTTCAAAGAGTAAAAAAGTTCACCTTGTAAAAGATGTTCAGAAAACGAAATAGATCACCTTGGATGCACGAAGGTAGCTAGTGTGGATACCGTTGTTAGTGTGGCCATTTACAAAATTTGCTTTAATCCAAATGCTTGGGGTTGGTCTGTGCCTCAATTTGAGAAGATATGATGGAGTCTTGTGTTTACCAATCAGTCAAGAATGTCTTTGCTCTCTTGTGATACAAGGTAGACGTTTTTTCTAAAGCAGCTTGTAGTATCCCTCTGCTCTGCACTGCCTTTCTTAGGAATGTAGCATAACAAAGGAGGAATGCTGAGCGTCATATAAAGAAACACATTTGTTGTACTTTTTTTCAGAATGTGATCCAGAAAAATGTGAACCAATGGAGCAGATGCCAAGCTGCCAGGACGATCAAACACTGATTGCTGCTCGGGTGGAGAATACCTGCTGCATTTCCTATATATGTGGTACAGTAGCCTGACTGGTTGACACTATAAGTGTATTTTTGTATATTAAATATTATTTATTATTATCTTCCCAACTAGGGCTCCGTGTACCTCCTTTAGCTCTCCCAACCTAGTAAGGCTTGAAAGTGGTTAAAACAGTGGGCATTAATTTTACATAAAAAATAAGAAATGGCAACAACCATGAAAAGTCACAGGACAGCTTTGTGCAACTGAGTAGTATTCCTGGGTTACGTAGAGGAGTTGTAGTGGAGTCCATGGATGAAGAATGAAGGAATTCAGGGCTTTTGAGAGACTGTCCATGCACAAGGTGTGAATCAGTTGTATGAATATTTTATTTGAAAGAAGACTGAAGTTATTTATGCTTTTACTGCCTATATTCTGCTGTATCAGCCATGGTCCATCTTAATCGATGACAAATATCCCATATGGGAGTAATATGCAAATTTATTCAGGTCTTTTGGGATTTGGCCTTTAATGACTTAAGTCAATAATAAAACTGCACTTTTGGCATTAGTATAGGAGCTCCAGTATTACTAAACAGCTGTCTTCTGTATAAGATGCAGATGCCCTTTATTTGGGATCAAAGATTCCAGAAAACAATGGTGTGAGCTAGTAGGAGAGAAAACCTAGCAAAATTTTCATAGCAAAAAAGGGAGGGAAAATCATGTTTGCTCACACACAATGTGTTCTTTCTTTATAGTAGGGGACAAAGGAAAAGGCAAGCTGCACTATAAATTAGCCTCTTGTATAGGGACTATAAGGAATGAATTCAGAGCACCTCAGTTTTCTTTCATGTGGGTCTGTGATAAACTTATAGGAATGTTTTCTAGGCAGTAGTAAAATTTCTTCCTATGTTTTGGATTTAAATAATTGTTTTCTCCAGCATGCGGGGCTTGCTCTGATCAAATACCCAAATGTCAAGAAGGAGAAGTTCTTATTGTGGATGGCAACACTACTGACAGGTGTTGCCCTACATACCAATGTAGTAAGTTTGACTTGATTTTGATATTCTAAATAATAGAGAACATGTCAAATTTTGTAGTGTGGAGGTTCAGTGCCAAAAGTTGTGGATTAGAAGTACAGCTCTTCTTGTGCATATAAGCATGCTATCATCTGTAGTCTTGAACAAGTAATCTTTACTTTTAAAATGTTATGTGTGTAAAGCAGTATCTGATGTATTATGGAAACAAATGAGTAATTTCAGACCCCAAACTCTGGATATTTAAAACCTATTTAAATATTTGCTTAGTGTATTTGTACTCCATGCTACCATCACCTGATATCTAACTTTTAAATTTCTATTCTAAGTCTTTTTGAAAGGTATTTATTATAAGTAATTTATTATACATTGATTCATATTTCTATTCATCAAAACAAGACAACCTTGCATTTACTGGACTTTCTTTTCTTTAATTTTAGTTTGTGAAATACATCGTTGTCCTGAATTCAAATGTATGCTGGGCATGTCTTTGGTGGAGGTGTGGAGCCCAGAGAAGTGCTGCCCCTTTCGGACATGTGGTAAAGTCACTAATTTTCATTGTTGTTGCCTTAGACAATAAGACATTGACTACAGCTTTGTCCTCTTGGTTTTGAGTCTGGTTTCAGCCAGCTATACCACTGTGATCTGCTCATGGACAAATGATGTAGCAAAGTCATTTCATAGTACAGAACTTCCTAATCTGCCTGGATTGATTTTTCTTGCTTCAAAAGGTTGAATAGCATCCTGTAGAATTTGCTGTCCAAACTGGGTGATCTATCATCTTGAAAATTTTGTAGGAGTTTGTATTGAGTTTGCATGGCAAGGTTTTGTTGGGGTGGAGGCTTCAGAGTTGTGTTCTGTGAGGAGCTGCCAAAAGCTTCCCCCATGTCCAACACAGCCAATGCCAGCTGGCTCAAAGCTGGACCCACCGCTGGCCAAGGCTGAGCCCATCAGCGATGGTGGTAGCACCTCTGGCACAGTGTATTTAAGAAAGGGGAAAAGTTGCTACATGACAGCAACTGTAGGCAAAGAGAAGAGTGAGAGAAAGATTTGCGAGAGAAACAGCCCTTCAAGCACCAATGTCAGTGCAGCAGGAGGGGGAGGAAGAGCTCCAGGTGCTAGAGCAGAGATTCCCCTGCAGCCCGTGGTCCACACGATGCGGGTGAGGCAGCTGTGCCCCTGAAGCCCATAGAGGCCCATTGGAGTGCATAGATCCCCCTGCAGCCTATGGAGGACCCCACGCTGGAGCAGGTGGATCCCTGAGGAGGGAGGTTGTGACCCCATGGGAAGCCTGTGCTGGAGCAGGCCCCTGGCAGGACCTGTGGACTCATGGAGAGAGGAGCTCATGCTGGAGCAGGTTTGCTGGCAGGACTTGTGTACCCCATCAGGGACCCACACTGGATCAGCCTGTTCCTGAAGGGACTGAATGCCATGGAAGGGCCCCATGCTGGAGCAGTTTGTGAAGAACTGCAGCCCGTGGGAAGGACTCACATTGGAGAAGTTCATGGAGAACTGTCTCCCATGGTAGTGGCCCCATGCTGGAGAGTCCTTTCCCTAACGAGGATATAGACAATTTGTAGTGAAATCACTGCAACCCCCATTCCTCATCTCCCTGCACAGCAGGCAGGGAGGAGGTAATAAAAAAAGTTAAGTTAAGCACAGGAAGAAGGGAGGGATGATGGGAAGGTGTTTTTAAAATCTGGGTTTATTTCTCATTATCCTTTCCTGATTTAGTTGGTAATAAATTCAGTTCGTTTCTCCAAGGTGAGTCTGGTTTGCCCATGACGGTATTTGGTGAGTGGTCTCTCCCTGACCTTATCTTGACCCATGAGCTTTTTGATATATTTTCTCTCCCCTGTTTATTTGAGAAGGGGAGTGATAGGGAAGCTTTAGTGGGCACCTGGCATCTAGCCAGGGGCAACCCATCACAGTTAGTCAATTGTTTTTCTCTATCAAAAGAAGTAGTTAGGTTCACAGGTCAGGAATTTGCCAGTTTACAAAGACTGTAGCATATATATCATACATTTTTATGATGCCTTAAACACAGTTCTCCACTGCTTTATATTGATTGCACATTGCAATGATTGTCACCACTGCAAGGAGGCCAGCAGCTAGAACGGCCGTGATTTTTTTAATGTGTTCAGGTGAACTGCAGTTGATACTCTGCTGTCGATTGTTGTAATGAGTAGAGGGGTTCAGAGAAGCTGCTATTATTTTTCAGAATGGCATAGACATTTGACATGATTCTGAACTCCCTAGGTGGGTATATTTCAAGAACTTCTTCAGTGATGACTTTCAAATCTGGATTTTCTGTTCTCTCTGATGGTCTGTTTTACATAAAGGGCGTATAACTTGGTAAACTATTGTTTCTGTTATTGTATTTTGTTTCAGAATGTGCATGTGAAACAATCCCCAAACCTCAGTGCAAACTGGTATGAAATTTATCTTCATTGTCAGTATTCTTTTATTAATTTCTTAATAAATCTGTTTATCAGCATCTTATAATTTTATCAGTGAAATATGAAATGCCACATCATTCTTTGTTCTTTTTAAAAAATTACTTCATAATAAGATATATCCATTGTTAAGAAGCCAGTTAAGTCTGAATGCCTTGTAGAATAACGTGGCTGTATAGCATTGGTATTTCTAGAGTTTATTACCATATCCTGCCCCAGAGTATTAATAGAGTGGAACTGCACCCAAGGATAAAATTTTTATTTTAAAGTGTTAGAACTAAATGCTTTAGTGCACCAGTGTTTTGTTGATATCATTTACCGTGGTGAATATTTTAACATTTGTCATGAACTTAGACTGATGACTAAGCAGAACCTTTAAACTGTATTTAATTGTGACTTGTTCTGCATTACAAAAGTGCTTAGGGGGAAAAAAAAAAACTGGGCTAGGTTCCCAGTTAGTACTGGGTGTGCTTTGATTTTTCTTGTCACTGTTTCATCCAGAAAATAATATTAGTGTGGGAATAATTTATAAAAATTATAATTCTGAGTCCTAGGGAGAAATTGGAAAGAGTACCCATTTTTAAATAGAGAAAATTCAATATGGTTTGTAAGGTGAAATTGTTGTTAGTGCTTTCATTTCTTAGATGAAGAAACTTGGGTATAAAGAATCAGAACTTGCATAAACACAGGAGAAAAATCTTAGTGTGCCTACATAGAAACAATAACAGGCAAAATTAAAAATTGTATCTGTGCTATTGCAATACTGTTTATATCCACGAAGATATTCTCTGAAAGAATACACTCCACACTGTGTGGAGATTTTTGTACAAAGGCAGGCCATTGCATTTCATTGGCCTATCTTAGTTTTTTTTTCTGTCCTAAGTGTCTGCTTTACTGAGTGTAAAAAATTCCAATTTAGTTATTATTATTAAATTAAATATACCTGTGGGTGATGAAAGTGGATTCCAAATAGGTTTCTAGGAGCAAGAGATACTACTACCCAAGTTCTGAAGGAAAGTTGTTTAGAAGAAAAAGATCATATAGATAAGAAAACACTCTTGTTTCATTTCTTTTTTTCTGCTTGTGTACTCTTAGGGGCAGAAACTTCAGATAGATGAACAGTTTCAGAACAGTACAGAAAACACCTGCAACTGTGTGAAGTACAAATGTGGTAAGTCAGAAAATAATTTAAGTCAAAGAAATATCCTTTCAAGTGCTAAGGTAGATTAGGAATTAAAAATCAGACATTCACTTTGAACATGGCACCAAGGAGAAAAGAATTAACTGACAGAATTAATAAACTGTGTAAGAAAAGGCAAAAAACCAGGACCCCTCAGTAAATATTTGGTTGATTATGGCCTGTCATTGTATTCTGTTAGTTTCTGCAGCAAGAGGTTTGTGCAGGGAAATAGCAGACAGTTTTAGGATAGCTGAGTGGTGTTGGCTAAGCATTTTCCTGAGCTGGAGCAAGGACTCCAGCAGAAAACTAGAACACACACACAATGTCCACATACAGAAAAGTCCCACTAACCCCTATGAGACTACTCAGGAGCTGGTAGACATCCTTATACGCTTTTACAAGATCAGGAATAGCATTCAGCAGCATGTGAAGTCATCTTAAAGGGTGCCAAACAGTGTCTGGGAAAACTTGGAGAAAAAATAATTCCTGTGGGGCACCCTGTTGGCCAAGAGAGTTGGGATTGTCCTTGCTTAGATTTTTACAATAAAGATGTTCACTTCTGACCTAAGTATCCTCCTCCATGCCCTCATTAATCAATGGGGAGAAATAGACATTATCCTGAAGTAGTCTTAAGAAACAAAACAGTTGAAGAAGTCTGCACTGTCACTGGGGTGGTGCAGGTAATAGAATATTTTGTACTTATTTCATGCATGGTTATATTTGAAATAATTTTGGTGATTAAAGTGAAGCATTAGACTGCTATTAACGATTCATGTTTGCAAATGTGACCCATAATTCTTAATGAGGTAGAGTAGCTTTTTTACTGTTTGAAACATTTTTAATGGAGTTTTGATACCAAGCTGATTGTCCTGACCATGCTGTTTGTGTTTTCCTGTAGTGAGAGACAAAGTTTGCCTGAGTAATGAGAGAGGTGTGCTGCTTCCTGGACAGAGAATCGTGGAACACAGTGCAGATGGCATCTGCCATATTTCTTACTGCACAAATGTGATTGATCCTTCCACTAAATACTACCAAATAAACACATCTTCGATAGACTGTGCTATCAAGTGCAAAGCTGTAAGAAATTCAGAAATTTAGACATATATATTGTAACTGGTGTTCTTAGTTACATTGTGATGCGTTTTGTTGACTAGATTACAGTCATAGGAACAAGTTGGAAAGAGTAACCAGATCGCCCTCTAATGATGTGCTACCACACTTCTAATAGAAGTTTATGAAAGTCTCACTCCCTCCACTGTTTTTTCCCCTATGTACATCTTATACAAACTAATGTATATAGCAACTGCCCCTTGGGTTGATAGCATGCTGCCTCCTGGCACCCTGCAGAACTTCAGCTGCATTATGAGCAAACCGGTACAAATTCCTGGCAGACATTAGCTCAATAAGAAGAGCGTAATTATAAATGGAATAAGAATTCTGAAAAGTTGTGAAAAGAGCTCTATAAAATAAGCAAATGTCGCATTGTCTTTTTACAAAATATGATACGTTACCATAGGAATATTTTATAGATTATTTTTTCTAATTTTATATTACTTGATGCCTGATGTGTGAAAAGTCAAAATTTCAGTGGTTCCTGAAGTAAGCTATTACTTACACTGTTTGAAAAATGGTAGAAAGACCAGTTCATTTTCTCAGGGTTGGAACTTCTCCCCATTTCCTTCAGTTAAGAACAAAGGTATTTCATGAAAGCTTCATGAATGTACAGTGTGTATGCAATTTTGAAAGTTATTTTAAAAATATCCCTAGAATTAGATACTTAAAAAAAAAAAAAATCTGCCTGTTACAGTAATAAAATGTTGAGCTGCAAGATAATCTCATAGAAGGAGTAATCTATTTGATTTTGACAGAACCAAGTCTATCAGCCTCCAAAAGATTTAACAACTTGCTGTGGTAGCTGCAAGAACTTGTCTTGTCTCCACACTTTCAGCAATGGCACAGTTTCCAGTTTTAGGGTGAGTTTATACATGTTTTATTACCTCAAAATATTTAGAATTAAACAAGAAAATTATGAAAGAGTGTATGCATGTTGCCATATAGAATTTGCAAAAAAGAGCTTTATTTGGCCAAATACTAGGAGTAGTTTTGCATGTATACAACATTAATTTCCATACAGCTGTCAAGAAAAACATAAGGGATTTTTATTTATGTATCAGAGAATTATCACGAACTCAACTATTCTAGAACCTGCTTAACATTACATATTTAGTGGACTTTCAAATTTGTTACTTAAACAGAACTTTACCATGCATTAGTATTGCATTTTGTTGTATTACTGTTGATTCATGCAAGATCACATTCAGCGGAACTGTTTTATGCATACTTGCAATACTGTTTTTGCTGGGTTGCCAAGTAAAATTTCTGGTTTACAATTTTTGACAGCCAGGTGCTGTTTGGATTTCAAACTGCATCAGATATGAATGCACTAACACAGCAATAGGACCGGTTCTGGTTTCCTCTGCAGTTGGTTGCCCACCCTTTAATGAAACTGAATGTGTGAAGGTCAGTGTACAATACATTGTTTGCATTCCAGCTTTGTTTTATATTGGTGTGAAAAGATTAACACTGACAAAAAATGTTTTTACCTCAAGAAGGGAGAAATTATATATTCTTGCAATGCCTGCATTTTTGCCCAGCCATTTAAAGGTATAACCATACACATATAATGTGCCACCAGTCTGCCCAGTTACACAGCTGGAGTCACATCTTCTTATTCTCAGAATTAATTTTATTTTTATTTTTTTAATATAGGCTTGTAATATCAAAGAAGTCTTCATACAGCTGTGTGAACTTGGATGCTTTTCTGGGGTGGACTTGTCCTTTCTAACTGATTTTCTGTGTGTGAAAACTGATTAGTATCAAACTGATTTGATTCAGCACAATGTTCAAAAACACAGAAGAAAGGGAAAGATTGTCTGAGTATCAGGAACAACTTTTATGTAGTGACACATGAAGTTTTATAGACTAGTTTTGGAGCAAGAAGAAAAGTTCTGTTTGAATTTGCAAAATTAGACTAAGTGCCGGGAAGTATAGGTAGGGAGTAATCTCCCTCTCTGTAATTCTACATTTACATGTGGATGGGAAGATACTTTCCTTGATGAGTGATCTCACAGAAGCAGGGAAGGGTCCTGAAGGAACTGGGTGGCTGTAGTTCTTCCTTGCAGATAACAATGGGTTGGTTCTGCAGAGAAGTCTGTTACAGAGCTGCTGAAAGGCTTTTTGCTGTTCTAGGCAAACTAAAAAGTTAAGGTGGAGAGAGAGGTTAGCATGGCTTTAGATACTGAGGTGGACATCAAAAACTGAACTCTCCTTCAATGTAATCCTTTTAATATAGCTGCAGCTATTCTTCCCACAGTATTCTGGGGACTGCTTTATGCTACAGCATTAAGACATGGATCTCCACTATGGGGAGTGAGTGGCTTCCCATTCAGATGAGATTTCTTCCAGCTCTGAAGTCAGATTCAAGTTTTTGTGATTGTCAGTATAGCCTCTACGAGAGATCAGGGTTTTACTCTAATAGCACATGATGGAATCACACTTAACACAGTCATTCCCTTTCCAAATGTGGGAACTATATTGATACCTGGTGATGTATAGTGGCATTTGGTGAAAGCCACCTGTGCTAAAACAGTAAAGTTAGATCATTCACCAGAATGCTGCATTTGCCTGAATGATGATGTAGAGCTTTATCTGGAAGATATTTCTAATAGTGGAGATATATGGGAATGAATGTTTGAAAAAATCAAGATTTTTTCCCCTTTATTTCTCTCTTGTTCAGGTTGGAGGCTATGTTGTGCCATTCTTAGAAGGATGCTGCAAAACATGTAAGTGATTAATGATACTTCCTGCCTCACGAGTCTCTCTGATTTGTTGTTACATTAGAAATAAGGTGGATTCTTTCCTGTGTAAAAGCACGATTCACTGATCTCAAAGGCTGCACTTTTCCCAGTTTTACTCACATGAATAACACTGAAATTAGTGGAGTAAAAGAAAATACTTTAACTTTGATGCTATTACTCCAGTGACAGTGGTTCTGGCTGGTCGAGTCACTAAAATTCCTACCCTTTATTTTGTAGTTTTCATGTAAAACTTCTCAAAATATTACTTATTGCATTTAGTATAATAAAAGGTACTGTGTTTTAGAAGGTAACTTAAAATATGCTCCATCTACTTTATATCTTCATATTTGGTAAAAATGAAGATTGATTTAAGTAGTTTATAAGTTACCTTTGTAAATAATAAACAGATTGGAATATAGAAATTAATAGACAGAAACCTTCAGGCAGTACCTTTTAGAATATTTTTATAATTTAAAAAAAATTCCCTCTCCTCTGATTACCAGTATATGGTTTGGATATTTGTGAGAGCTAATAAAGATTTTCTAGGGAAAAAAAAAAAAAAACAACAACAACAAAACAAAACAGAATAAAAATTCTCTAAGATATAGGTTCCAAATATACTATTTCTTAATAGAAATAAAGAGCTAAGTACATATTCTTAACACAGTGGTACAAGCTGAAACATTTTGGCTGATTTCCTGAAGAACTTAGCCTGAGGGAGACACCTAACCGTATGAATTTAAACTCAAATACTTGAAGTTGGCACTATAAAAAGCAATAGAAAAGGAGATTTTTATATTGGGCAATATCATGCTATCTTTAAAAACATGCAAAATTCTGACTCAATTTGCATAAGTGGCTGAAATAGTGACCTAAAAGTGTGGGAGAAAAATGGAGAAAAGTGCAGGTATTTCTTGGTGGGTGGAGTGGAACTTGCGCAGTCATGACTACCAGATCTGGACATATGTTGCCAACAGGGAGGTACCTTTTGGTGTGATTCATTTGCATTACACTTGGTACTAAAAACTTGATTGAAACTGTGGAAGATTTATTTGGGGAGTTTTTTTCTGTTCCCACTGTAAGGGAATGGTAATATCTCTTCATATTTTTTTCACTCTGGACCTGTGTTTCAAGCACTTGTCCTAGTTCTGTGGCTGATTCTCCATGGGCTCTCTGACATCAGTTTTTGATTATCTGACATTACCCTTCAGTGCTTTGGCAGGCAAATAAGTCACTTCTGAAAGATTTAGTAAGACAGTTAAACATCCATTAAACTACTTTTCAGCAGGGCAGAAATATGCTACTATGCTTAGAGAAAGATCATAATCACCTCTTTAACTATTAAAGACAAAAGTCATTAATCTGTGGCATGCATAACAAAGTAAAATTAAACCCTTGAAAAACCCAGTGACTTTTGAGAAACATTTACAGGTAGATTCCTAGAGTTTTGATTTCACACCTGTTGTTAGACAACACAGTAATTCTATGAATCATGGAAGTTCATTCTGACTCCAAACAAATCTACTGTCATGAGAGCTGTCAGTTGTAATTGTGTGAGACATTTTATGAGAAGGATTATCTTTTTTTTTTTTTTTTTTTTTTTTGAAGTACTTTACCATTAGAAACAGTTGTGATTTTTTTTTTTTTCAGTTTTAATTGGTATTTGAAAATTAAGACCCAGGAGTTCTGTCAAAACCTGGAGAAGTTTTACAAGTGCTGCTGAGAGGAAATTATATTATTTCTTTTTTGTAGCCCCAAAGGGCACATTAAATTCAGGATAGCAAACTGGCTAAGTTATACCAGTGCAGATCAGATTCTTCCCGGTTTTCACATGAGGCTTAGAAATGCAAGTAATGCCTGGACATGGTCCTGAGCTGCTGGCACAATGAACCCTGCTTCAGCAAGGAGGAACCAAGTGTCCCTTCCAATCTCAGACATTCTGTGATCCTGCAATATATAGATATTTCAAAGTTGAATTCTGTTTTCAAATATGCCAAAAGCTCCCAATTCCCAAGTTTTCATAATTTTCATCCTATAGGGAATCCTCTGTAATACGTGCTCTGTTCAATGTGTAATATTCTTACCAGGTTCTTCAGTGTCAGTGTTCCTCCCATTCCCTGTTAGCCCAGTCACTCCCACAGCCTACGCTGGCTGTCACACAGGTACCTTTTCCTCAAATAAGTAGGACCAAACCAAACAGCATCATTGTTGATTTCCAACAATGTACTCCCTGCTAGGATCATCAGAACTCACATTACCCAATAATGCCAAAAGCTGCAGTGTAGTGTAACTGCTCACGGTTCAGAGTGGCTCACGTTATGGTTTTGGTTTGTTTTTCATTTTGCACTGTGTGGGCGGTGCATTGTTGTTAGCCAACAATGTACTGTTGGTAGTAAGCACTTGCATAGTCTTTAGCTTGCTGCATGTGTAAAATTGCTGTGTTTGAAAAAGTATACTAATTCAACCAGATTTACAGTGCTGTAGAACATAGAGAATAATGGCTTTGCTTGTTAAAGCTTTACTTTGTAAGCAGCGTTTTTGCAGATGACGTATCATACAGGCTTGCTTTGTGCCATATACAGTAAAAGCAAAGAATTTCTTTCCCATCCATAGTTTGGACAGTATACTGAAAAGAGGAATCCGGTGTTTACTCCGTGACAATTGGAGATTATCTTTGTTCCTTCTCATAGAGCATGTTAATTCTTTGAATTGTAACACATTATGAATGCATTTGTTTTGGATTTATTTTGTGAAAACAACTCTATATTTCTCTCAGAGAAATTATGTTGACTCTAATTTTGTACATCAGCAAGTGACACATCCTATATTAAATTAGGCTTCTGACTCTAGGACTGCTAAGGAGAAATCTATATTTCTCCTTCATTATTTCTCTTTCATGTTGTCACTTTAAGTGACAGCAGTGCTATGAGTCAACCCAAAAACCAAGCAAGGATTTTCAACCATACAGACAGTGAAAAAGAATCTGTAATACGACATGTGTTTTGTAAGGTTGTTCATGGAAAAATATATTGTGTTGTAAAGCTCACAAAAAGCCACTGGATGTTAATGTACATGCGTGGAAATACATTATATATTTATTTTTTATGGGATATGATGTACTTTCACTGTAGCCTGGGTGAAGTCATAGTCACAGCTGCACTGAATTCTCCACCCTACACACCATGTATAATGTAAAAGAAGAGAGAACCGTGAAGAGAACTGTGAAAAACATGAAATAACGGTGAGTTTTTTATTTTCAAGAACAATTTGTTTTTNAAAAAAAAAAAAAAAAAAAAAAAAAAAAAAAAAAAAAAAAAAAAAAAAAAAAAAAAAAAAGAACAAAAAGTTGCTTCTCTTTGAGAAGCAGTATTGCTGGTTTGACGGTGATTAGAGCAGAGAACTGGACATTGCTCATTAAGATGTGATAAGACTGTGTCCCAGTTCAGTATTGGGTATTTGTCAAACTGATGAATCCTTTAGTGCCCTTGCTTTTCTGGAGCTAACAGTATTCACCTTTTGTCAACATCTTTGGGTTTCTTGGCTGAAAGAAAACTCATCTCTGTAAGTGGAGAGTTATGGGGGACTGCACCAAGATGCATAAAATCTGGTGTGAAACAATGAAAGCGGTTATATTAAAATTAGCTGTTCATTTCTCTTACAGATCTGCAGTATGATGTGGTTTGTCCAGCACAGAAAGGATCATCCTAAGAAGATTCTGTGCTTTTTGATCTCTTACAACTGAACTTTATACTGAACATCTTTGTTTTTCTTCAAATGTTCAGGATTCTTTTCTTCAATGAAGCTTAACTCCTTATTTAATTCCATGATTTCTTGTTATCTTTTTTTGTTTTATTCATGTACTTTGTAAACACTTCTGTAAGAAAAATTATGGAAATAATGTTAATGAAAAGGCAAATAAAAATTTTCATTTGTTCACTGGTGTTCTTTTATTTAATAAAAACATAATACAAACAAATGTAAAGGCCCCTAATGCCCTATTCTTCATCAGATTCTGCTGTTGCATATTAATTTTAAACTTTGTTTATACCACTGGAATGCAATTACTGCTATTAAAGTTTATTGGAGGTATGTCATAGAAAATGCATCTTATGCCTTACTAACAAGTCTTCTCACAGAAGTGATCAGTTTTGCAAAATTTTTTGAACACAGTGGAAATACTCTTAAAAAAATTCTGACTGAAGAATGAACTTTTTATAGTTGTTATTAAAGATATAAGGAGATGAATAATGCATGAAATAGAATAGTTGCAAAAGTGATTCAGTGCATAGCTAATGGGGGTTTTTTTCTTTGCGTCTCTTGACCCAGTAAAATGTTCAGGAATGTTCTTGTCTCTGAAATGTTTAGAATTTTGAGCTGATATTTTTTTGGTTTATGACCATTTTTCAGGTAAGGAAGATGGAAAATTCTGTAAGAAGGTGACTGTTAGGATGACTATCCGCAAGAACGACTGCAGGAGTAACACACCAGTAAGTAGATAACTATCACAATTTCTTTTAATAGAAGGGAAAAAATACGAGAAATAAAATGAAGGAAGAAAAGGAACCCAAATTCCACATTGTCTTCATCTCTGTCCCAGAGACAGAGATTTGTGTTTCATAGAGCTGTTTTAATGTTTCCCTACATTCTCAGCAATCACCTTCTCAAATAGTAAAAAGAAGGTTGTTACTTCTGCTTTTGTAAGCACTAGGTGCATGTTGATTTAGTGCAAATCCAAAGTCTTATTTCACCCTATAATGCAATTATTATATGCAAATAACGTCAATATAACTGAATCTTTGTCCCTGATATTCTCTAGTTAAAATGGCTGCAGATGTGTGTAATTCTTCATCTGCCTGGGGAAAATATTTAAATGCCAACTTCATGAAGAGAGGAATCTTGGGTCCTGAAAGCTTTTTTTAGACAGCAGCATGAACATGCTGTAAAATGTGAAGGAAGAATGAGGCACTATAGAAGGATTTACTGTTGAAGGACACCAGCAATGTCCTGCTGGGCAGTGAGACTGTGAGCAGCAGCAAGAGTGCAGACAGACGTCTCATGTGAGATGTGTAAGAGAGCCTGGAAAAGCTGTAATAAAAGAGTGCAGGGAAACAGCTGTAGCCTCTAAAATGACTCTGAGAGTACATTTTGTAGAATAAGCTGTTGAGCAGCCAGGAGATTTAGTCTCAGTGTCTCATTGAACAGAAACACGAATCTTAACTATTAAATTTGAAAAAATTATTCAGTTTCTATGACTATTTCTCTTACAGTCTGTATTACAGATTTGGTATAATTAGTAGTAATTCCTCTTGGCTTTCCAAAGGATTGGTTCTTTTATCCCTCCTTACTGATACCAGTACAGCAACACTGCATCAGTGTATCACTGAAATGAATACTGCAGGGAACTGGAGACAGAACATTTGGTGCCATGTTCAAGCCAAAGTTGTTATGAATACTTTAAAATTCAAAACCAGAATTGTTTCTTTGTGTCTGTTAATAGCCAAAACCTGTTACTGAAATGGACAGAAAAGTCATCATTGATACCAGTAAGATGCAAAGTGAGACCTATCTGGGCAATGTACTTCAGAGCTTATTTCCAGATGTAGTGGGATTTCATAAGGTGCTGGAGGAAATACCTCCAAGTTTTTCGTTGCTTTGCCATTGGATTTGGGTGCCTAATGTTTTTAGACTTCCTTGAGAACTCCTAACTAGCTTCTTGATGCTTGTTACCAGGTGAACATTGTTTCGTGTGATGGGAAGTGCCCTTCTGCAAGCATTTACAACTACAACATCAACACGTACGCAAGGTTCTGCAAGTGCTGCAGGGAGCTCGGGCTGCAGAGACGGACTGTGCAATTGTACTGCACCAGTAACTCAACCTGGGTCAGCTATTCAATCCAAGAGCCCACAGATTGTTCTTGCCAATGGTCTTAAAAAACCAAACAGAAAAAAAGGTATAAAAGGAAAAAAACCAGCAAGCCCAGCTGTTCTCAGCCTAAGATGATTTTAATAGTTTATCTCTTAAAAATAAAATAGCCAATCCCCCGAATTTCACCAGTTTAATGCAAAACAGAGCACAAATACTTTTGGACTCTCCTAAATTTCTGTAAAATGGCGTTGCATCATTTGTATTGTGATTTGCCTTCATTTTCATTCACAGGGATTGTTTTAAGGGTTCTTGTGATATGTGCCAACTTACAAGGTGATTTACATCAGTGACACCTCAAGAGAAAGAACACCATCTGTTTTGTTCTGGAAGGCTAGCCCACTCTTTGTCAACCCATTCCTGTTTTAAATCATCGACCAACTTACCTGGCAGTAGGTCACTGTTTTGAATGTATTGCAATTGTGCAAATACATTCACAGTCTACTAGGAAAAATTGTTTGGATGACATGAGAAGAATTTTCAGTTTAAATCATATTCCTGTTGCTAAGTAGAGCATGTATAAGAAATTCATGTAAAGATTTTTTAATTTTTTTTTTTTTTAATCTGGGAAACATTATCAATACTGATAACTATGTAATATGCCCTGGTAATAATTTCAGTTTTTTTCTAGTGTATTTTATATTGTAGTGAAAACCATTATGGCAAGCATATATTTTATGGAACAGATTGGCTGATTTTAGGTTATCTAGAATAGTCATTAATAGTTATTTTATCATTCTGCTGAACAATATGACATAAACTGAAAATGCACAGATTTGAAAGATGAATACCATTTTGCATTCCTTTGTATAGATATACCTTAAATGAAAACTTTCAGCTTATGAAATAACCATACTTAAATTGTTTCTCTAGGGAATGAACATTGTTTAACACTAACTTTAAACATGTGAAAGTTCATTAGGAAAAAGAAAATGAGGATTATATATTGGTCACAAAGAAAAACAAAGTTCAAAATCTTCGTCACCTCTATAGTAGAATGTAACTTCTTATGGCAAGTGCTTGAAATTGAAAATGTACAATTGTAAGGTTTGAAATTTCAAAAGCAATTTTGCGTATGAATTTGAAATATTAACATTATTTTTTCTCCTCTAAGCTACTGTTCTGTTCTTTTTCAACAAATGCCACTGAGATTCAGCAAAAATTCAGTAACTTTCATTCCGTAGATTAAAACTGTAGATAGCATGCAGTGATAGACTTGAGATCCTATAGTAGAAAATAGATCTCAGCATAATGTCTTCAAAAGCTGCTTGACTGCAGTTAATCCAAAGAAAAATATGTTGTTAAAATCAATCATGTGAACATTTTTGATATTAATTTTGTATACTGTACATTTCATTCTTGCAATATCTAATAAACAACAGGAAGTCTTATTTTGTTAATTGTTCCAGCAATTTACTGTCATGTAACGACAACATACAATGTTTACTCATTCTTCTTTTAGCAGTGCACGTAAGTAGTTTTAGGGTTTGCTGCTATCACTAATATTAATGATCTATCACTACAGCAGGAAGGATGTAGTACTACAGCGGGAGAAAGATCTGCATAGGGGGGTTTGAAAATCTACATATTTTTCTGATTCCATCACTGCTTCCATCCTCAGAAGTGCAGAATTCAATTATGTCATTTTATTAAAAATAAAAATTGGAAAATTGTTGTTCATGGAAGTGTAACAACGCATATCTGACATTGCCAGATAGACTGTCCTGGAAAAGAAGGAGAGGGAAAGAAGATAAATTTCTGCACATTCCCTTTCAATGTTTTTCTTCCTTGCAGGATTGACTGCAATCAGTAGACAGTGTTTTGAGTGGGCATTTTGTTACAATATAGTTGTTGTGTGGTGATGATCACTCTTCAGTACTTAGGGCCAAATAAATCTTAAGTTCTAATTTGTAGGTGCAGTCCCTACCCATTTCACAGGACGTGTTCCTTGTCATCTTCTACATAGCAAGAAAGGACAGGATTTGGGAGGAATGCATCCTTTGGAAAACCAGAAAAAAAAAAGTGCTATTTACCAGATATTGAACAGAGCTAAACCCTTGAACCCAAGTGCCTAAAATTCAAGCATTTGCAAAGGTGAAGTTCAGCTGCCCCTAGTTCACCAACTGGCACATGCCATCCTAGAGGGTAGGAATTAACAAAAAGGGCTCTTTCTTTTGCCCTCAACCTAGACAGTATTTGCTGTGAAGTGCCAGCCACCATGAAGGGCAGAATTAGAGCAGGAATTAGGCCAACCACCATCCGTCCCTTAGCTTCAGCGTTGTCCCTCCTCTTGCCACTTGAGAAAAGAGCTCATTGTTTCCCGCAGCTCAAGGCAGTAATTCTGAAAACCTTTCGAGGTGGAAACTTTCAACTTCTAGTTGAACAGCAAAGTTAGTACTGGTAGCAAGAGTAGAAAGCAGACTGGGCTGTATTCAGTAGCCATTCAAACACTGCTGCTGCTTCTACTTCAGGAGTAAAATGATAAGCACCGTGTCAAGTCCCTACTTCTGATTTTGTAAACTTCAGGCTTATGCTGAGAGAAACAAGGGGAAAGATTCAAACTGCTTTATAGCTTGATAGGGGAAGCTACTTTTATCCCTGCCTCTGTGTCAAATTCCTTCACATGCCCTTACCCTATCTGTGGTTGTTCAAAGCCGTCCAAGCCCTTATCGTGTATTTACCTTGCCCTGAATTTGCAGAAAGCAGATCAGCTGGAGAAAGACTGTGCCTTATTAGTACTTCCACATCTTCACAGGCCCTTCCATGCTGGAGATACTGGGACTGTGAACAGTGACTGAGTCCTAAAACAAGTTTATATTCTTTTTACTGTCTTTTGCTGGAAACTGACCTTCTGGAAACTGAGGCCTCTTACATTTCTTTGTAAGTCTCAGAACTTCACTCCGCCCCAAGGGCCATGTTCTCCACACGTGTTTGCATGCATGGAATTTCTCCCCAAGAGTGATTCCTAATGTAGGTGTAGAAACATCACAGGCTTGTATCTTGTTAAATCTAGGATTTAAAATCTTTCTAATGCTGGGGTTTTTTCCCATCTTTGAGTAAAATGTTTAGTGTATGGATATTAAAACATTGTTTGTTTGTTATGGTGCTGTCTCCTCATTGTCATCCCCTTTGAAAAACACTTTATTTGCATTACCTCAAGCAAGCTTACCCAGCCTTGATTCACAGGAAAATATAGGCAATTTGACAGCTGAAGTCTTGAGTATTATGTAGAAAGACCTTGAGAAAGGACTTTAAAAAGAAATGTAATGATATCGATTGTGCTATGTAAAGGCTCACTGTCTGGCTTATTAGTACATGATCTAGACTCAGAATAACAGTCTCTTGAGTAATGTTTCCTCTAATTAGTGATAGTGCTGCCTGGTGGTTTAGTAAGTTAATCTGAAATATTGGCATCTGTTGGTCTGCAGTTTAATGAGAACTGTTAGTCACAAGTTAAATAACTTACACCCCCTCAGATAGCTCTCAAGTATGCAATCCATGAACTCAGATCAAAATCATTCCAAAAATGTTGCCCTCACTCTCATCTCTGCCCACACCATCATCTCTCTCTCCAGTGCAAACAGCTATGAATAATTAAAATGAGGTAACAGCTGCTATGCAGATGGTAATTTTTTTGGAAAAATCCCCTCGTAGTGTGATGAAGACACCTAACCTCTTTAGAAATAGTCCCTGACAAATTGCCATCAGGTCTCCTTTCTCTATGGACTTTTGACCAAGGCTTTGACTATGTCAGCTCACATTAACTGTTTAAATCATTGATAACTGAATTAACTCAGGTGTCCAGGCGTCATCCATCACCAAAGAAAGGTATGTGCATCCAAAGAGTGACTCATCCCATTCTAAAATAAATGTCTAAGATGGATGTGGTGAATCATCCTCAAGATGTATCATCTTTCTTTTTCACTGTGGAGAGAACTTGGATGTAAAGATGTGGTTAGGCACCTTACTTTTGGGTTATTAAAATTAGCTGGAATTAAATTCACCTTTAATGGTTAAAAATATCTCAACAGGCTCAGAAGTCAGCTACTCTGATAGCGATTATGGCATGTCTTATCTGACCACTTTATATGAGGTGATTAATGGCAATATATGACTTGCATGCAGCTGAATGGGATGTAATTTGTCTTGTATGGCTTTTCCTTGTGTCCTAAAGTATACTCCCTTTGTACAACAGCTATAAAACTATCCCTATATCTCTAGAGCTGAAGACAGACATCATCAGCCAAATCTTCAAGATGGAAAAGTACAACCGAATTTGCAAAGACGAGATGTGTTTATTTCCATGACAGTGTGCTATATTAGCTGGTGAGTGAATATTTCTGTTTTATAGATGTTTTATTGTGTAGATGTTGGCTTGAGTCTTCCAAGTGATTTGTGATCTTACTTTCTAAGCTTTTGACTTCCAAGATCTTTAAGTGAATGCACTTCTTCAGAAAATGATGAAACCCATATATGAAGTATCTTTGTGTTCCAGCTCTTTAGATTGTCTGGAGTTGAGTTTAAGGCAGCAGAGAGGTTTTTCAATACACAGGCTTTTCGTGACTGTTTTCTATACGATTGCCCAGGGGCAGATTCTGACCTCAGTTACTCTACTTGAAAAGACATCGGATTTGGTGTTTGTTTTTTCTCAGGAGTGTTATTAGTTCATTAATTGAATATGTGAGATTTGTCCAATATGTGCCTTGTGTAGTCAATTACTGGGACAAAATATAGCAGAGCACTTTAATAACATTTCTTTTTGATTAAAAATTCAGAAGTCTAATCTTAAGCATGAAATATATAAGACAGAATAGCTGGAGTTACGTTTAATGCCAAGACCATGCCTGTTCTTGATCTCTGTGCCTAATCCCTCAATTGTCTTTTCTCGGCCATACTGAACTTCACGTATATTTTACTAAATAGGGAAAAGGCAGAAAAGGACCTTCTGAGAAGAGGGCATGCAACTGCCTAATAGGCTTGATCTCTAACCTGACTCGGAGGAGGGTGGTGTACTTTGACTGCAAGACAGGAATATCACTAATAAAGTGCTCCTCATTTCCTAGCAGGAGAAAACAGTGCTGTATTTTCTTTCTCCCCACTAGGACC